ACTGAAAAGGCTGATCCGTGTCTGATGAAATGCCGGCTGTTGAGAGTTTTGTGGCTGAGACTCTGGGGGTTTCTTCCAAGCAGCAAGACAGTTTGCTTTGCTCTCTGTACAGGGAATGGCTCCTGGAGGCAGTTGCCCCCTGGGAAGCTGGGACTGGTTGTGGGGACTGCGATTGCTGAAAGAAAGGGCTGTGTGCGTGCTGTCTGTGCCCACCTCTGGCCAAGGACTCGTGTCTCTGGTGTGAGTGAGTGAGTCACACTCAGATCTCCAGCTTCCCTGGCTCTCTCGTCCCCTCCAACAGGCAGCAAATCTGCTACAATCAACACACACACTTTCTTATAACCACTAATCTGCTTTCCCAGAGTGGAGGTCACAGCTGGGGGCAGCCTGTGGACAACCCAGCACAAGAGCTGGCCCTGGCTGCATGGTTTTCCTCCGGGTGCTTTAACACTGGAAAAAACCCATGACAGATGAGGAGGCTTTTTCAGCCAGGTCCCTGCCACCCATGGTCTTAGATGTGTCCCCTTCCCCTTTATTCAATAGTCCTCAGCTCTACTTCCATTACATTTGCCTCCTTTTCTTTCTCTTGCATGCATTTCTTGCAATGGGGTTTGTAAGATAAAACAAAAGATGACAGCACAGAAGGAGTAAACTTACCCGTGAGAAGTGTCCCTGTGAAATCAAAGCAGTAGGTCTCAGACCCGGTACAATATGCAATCTCATTGCTACAGTCATAAGATCCAAGGCCGAAGCACGCTGGACACTGCAAGCCATTGGGAGTGGTGTTCACTGGTGGCACTGGGAACAATCAGATCACAGTCGGGTTTGACAAGGTTAGAAGGGAAATGTGTGCATTCGAGATCTCCTCCCGTGTCAGCCTCTCAACCTTACGGGCGGGGGCACAGCTGTAGCTCTGGACGTGCATGAGCAGCACGGTCCAGTGTCCCCTGGGCTCCTGTGTGAAGCCCTGAAATCTTTCTCTGCTGAGTGGGAGTCTCCACGCCTCTGCATTTTGCCTCCCAGCCCCTGGCCCATGGGGTATTACCCCGTGCAAGGTCCCCTGCAGGGAAGGCAATGCTTCTCAGGAGCTCAGGACCACCTCCAGCAGGGCAAGCGAGACCTGCCACTGACAGCTCCCCCCACACGTCACCTGTCCTGCCTGCTGGGCGATAGGGCTGTCCCTGCCAGGCTCTGACCAAACTGTGTTCTTGCTGCCAAGAAGGCTACCGGCTTCCTGGGCTGCATTGGTAGGAGCATTGTCAGCACATCGAGGGCAGTGATCCTTCCCCTCTATTCAGCACTGGGGAGGCCACATGTGGAGTCCTGTGTCCAGCTGTGGGCCCCCATGACAGACAGGCTGAGGGAAGCAGGATTATTTAGTCTGCAGAAGGGAAGACTGAGGGGGATTGAACAGCAGCCTTCACCTCCCTGCAGGTGGGGTGCAAAGAGGATGGAGCTGGACTGATCTAAGTGGGGGCAGATGACAGAGAAGGAGCAATGGGCTCAAGCTACAGCAAGGAAAGTTAAGGTTAGATATTGGGACAAAATTTCCCATGAGGAGGGTGGTGAAACACTGGAACAGAAAGGTGGTGCAATCTGAATCCCTGGAAGACTTGAAGACCCGGGTAGACAAAGGCTTGTCTGGGTTGATGTAGTTGGGGCTGGTCTGTCTCGCTTGCTGAGCATGGCACATCTCCCGTGCAGCCTGGGAGGAAAGGCTGAGTTTCCTGAGGCTTCCCCAGCATCTCTGTTAATGGGGCAATGAGCTGGTGTCATCCCAACTGGCACCTGTGAGGCACTGTTCTCCAGGGGTGCCTGGGATCCCCTGGAGGCTCCCAAAAATGTCTTTTTTCACTGTTCACTCTGGGAACACTCTCCCCTTTGCTCACCCATCACAGCTTGGTGTCTTATGGTTATAAAAGGGAGGTTACTCCATGGCTTCCCAGTCCTGGTCTTGTTCTAATGGTCACTGGTGACTGTGGTCCCTGCCTTACGGGCTAATTGCATGGCTCCGTACCTTCCCTAAACCATGCCCATGCCTCACTAGTGCCATTGTGGCAGCCGCAGCGGGTCCTGCTTGGCCTCCCCAGCCCCCAACAACTCCTCCCTGTGTCCCTGCTGCAGCGCTCGCACCGGGCAGCAGGTAGGGAAGCTGTATGGAGGGCAGATGCGCGGAGCATGGGTCTGGGGCTGATGGAAGCACCGAGCTTGCGTGGGCAGGGGGTGGGTGGGTGTGTGTGAGGGAGGGTGTTGGGGTCCCCCCCACACATGCCCTGCCCATGGCGCACAGCCTCTGCCACCGGTGATAGCAGCAGCAGGCGTTGGGCACTCGGGGTGCTCGTGACTCGCACAGACGCAGCCACCCGGTGATGCACAGCTCCAGCCACTTCCAGGAGCTTCACGTGGAGGCAAGGAGCAGAGCCAGGCACAGCCCACGACTATCACAAAGAGCTCACATGCGGCTCCCAGGACTCATGCATCGCCACGGGGGAGCTCCACGCGATGGAGCTGGATGCCTTCCCTGCTCCCTGCTGCCATGTGCAGCTGTCTGGACTCGGTGGGTGGGGAGGCCCACCACTGCTTCCTGGCATGATCCCAGGAGCTGCACATGGCGGCAGGGACTGGCTCGTGGCTTGCAAGTCCTGGGAGCTGTACATGAACCCCAGGGAGTGGGGACCCCTCGTTTGGTCTGATTCGCACCAATGCAGACATGTGATATGCTGCCCGACCGCCCCAGGGAGGAATGTGCGGCTAGTGGATCGTGGCTCTGCCCCAGGTCTGGACACCGCTGCCACCGCTGCAGGATCCCGGCCCTGGAGCAGCTCCCCGTCCAGCTGTGTGCTCTCCCTGCTCTGGTTGGGCTGATCTCTGTGGAAATCCTGTCCCTGTGCTGTCAGGTCTGGGGGAGGCAGGGGCCTGAGACAGGGCAAAGCGGGTGGTGGAAGTAGCTTGTCTCTGCTGTGTGCACAGGGCATCTGCTGAATACACCCACAGGCTTGGATCGGGTCGTCTGGGTGATTTGCTTCTGACTTTGAGTTTTGCCTTTTTGTTTAAAAGCTTCAGAGGTCTTCTGTATTACAGTCTCTGCCTCCCGTGGGCATATTCAACCCGCTGTGGTTTGCTGCTGGCTTGGCTTTTGCAAGGTTCCCATGGAGCCGTTTTATCGCTACACACAGCTACAGACCACACCGGCTTCAGGCACCCCTCCTCAGCAACCCGACACAAAGATCCTTCCTTCCTTGGCATCTGCACATTTTGAGACACAAACGAGGGCTCTTGTGCAAAGCTGCAGAGAGCCGGGCAATGCCGCACCGCACCTGCTGCCATTGCACAGACGGGAGCTTGGAAAGGAGCCACAGAAATCCCTGCAGCTGCTGTTGTCCAGCTCCACCAGCCTTAGCGAGCACCCACTGCCGAGGCCTCCACGCCTCGTGTGAGCCACGGTTCTGCACATTTTGAGACACAAACGAGGGCTCTTGTGCAAAGCTGCAGAGAGCCGGGCAATGCCGCACCGCACCTGCTGCCATTGCACAGACGGGAGCTTGGAAAGGAGCCACAGAAATCCCTGCAGCTGCTGTTGTCCAGCTCCACCAGCCTTAGCGAGCACCCACTGCCGAGGCCTCCACGCCTCGTGTGAGCCACGGTGCTGTGCTCACCGCAGCACCCTGACACCGCAGGCAGATGTGGGCCCAGCGCTGACCCCCGTGCGAGAGCACGTCCTGCTGAGTGAGAGGTGCCGTGTGCTGCAGCCCGGGTCTGGCACCTGGACGTTTCCCAGATCGGCCTCGACCAGCCTGACTGACCCCGGGGAGCTCTGCCACCCCATCAGATCACGGCCCGGGGGGAGTTGTCTGCAGGCAGCCTGGGAGCAAAGGGCTGGGACAGGGATCCATGGCAGGTGACGGCACAGCGAGCGCTGCGTGCGTGAGTGCACCTGGGATATGCTCAGGACCAGCCCGATGGCCCTGACGGGAGCATTGCACTGGCTCCAGGGTGAGATCCCATCTGGAAGAAGGGAGCAGCTGGGAAATAATCTATATTGCACAGAGAAAACCCCAGCAAGGGGCAATGCAGTTCTTTCTGTAACACCCCATTACAGCGGCACCGGGGCTGCAGCTCCAACCCTGAAGCTGGCCAGGGATTTTTTCCTGCCTTTAATTTATGTTGTGTCGGCCCCACGCCCAACCCCTAAATAATACTTCCATTCCTGATTTCCTTCCCTTTTATCAAAGCAGCTCATTTGAGATCTCCTCCCCCAAACCCCCAACAAGCCAAGCAGTGACTTCCAGGGAGGGATTTGCTTTTACTGAGCTCAGACCTCCTGTAGTTCAGCTGCCCCCGCAGACAGCCACTGGCTCATCTGCAGGTTGTGGAGCAGCTGCTGAGTGGAGAAGGAAGGGAGCAGCTGGGGTTGATTTGCAGAGAGGAGTGGGTCAGGGCTGAATCCTCTTGCAGCGGGTTCCCCTGAGAGCTGGGCATTATTCAAAGTCCTGTGAAGTCCTCGAGACCCTCTGCCCTGCCTCCTTGGCACTGGGCTTTGGATCAGGCGTCGAAATGGGAGTGGATTGGACTATAGAGACCCCTGCAGTGGGCTGGAAAGACCTTGGTCGTAGCCAGGGGAGGGGGCTGTCACTTGCTTTTCTGGTGCACGCGGATGAAACCCCACTGCGAGGGCCTGGCAGACTTCATGCCTTTCACTTCAGCTTAGTGAGCCTGCGGTGGACCTGCCCCTCTCCCTGACCACATCCACCGATGCTGAATCTTGGTAACCATGACTGGGGTGTAGGTTGTAGCCGTGTTGGTCTAAAGACATGGGCAGACATTCTTTGGGTGAATCTGATATCTTTTATTAGACCAACTTAAACAGTTGGAAAACCATTATTAAGCAAGCTTTCAGGTTCAAAAACCCTTCGTCAGGCTGAGGAAGTTTCAGCAGTTGGTGTGTGCTCTTCCTGGAGGGAATGGAAAGTAAAGATGCCAGAGGCTGGGCTGGTCTGCATGCAAGACAGGCAGTCAAGTGAAGATGTAGATTGAGCGGTCAATGGGAGAGAGAGGCTGGGTGGGGGAGAGAAGGGGGATGAATAGTAGAGAGGTCTGCCCTTTCTGGGCCCCTCACTCGATCTTCAGACAAACAGAAGGGAACTGTGATGTCTCTTGTAAACCTTCATGCAAATTTATCGCTTTACCCACATCAGGGAATTGCCATTTCAGTGTCTGTCAGTTCAGGTGCTGTGTGTCTTTGTGCAGATGCACAACCTTACATAAGATCATGGGCTCCTGCTCTCTCCAGGAAACCATGTTAGATAGTCCTGTTCATAAACTTATCCAGCGCCCTCTTGAAAGCAGTGGAGTTTCTGCACCACTACTCCAAGACTGCTCTACAGCTTCACTCTTCTGAGAGCTAGAAACCAGCCTAAGTTTGTTAACAGCCAATTTATGCCCCTTTTGTTATTGTAATTAAATAGCTGTTCTTCCTCTCTGGTGAGTACTCATAGAGAGGTGTTTGTCTTTGTGGAGAGAAATCAGGGGAGTCTGGCACAATCCACCTTTGAAAAACATACATACTACAGTTTCTTATTTCCCACATGCAGACAGGGAGTGAGTGGGCAATTTGGGCTTCACCCTTCTCTCTGCCTCAAGCCTATGTTTAGTATAAACCGTTTAGGAGTGTATATTTGAACTTCAAGATGACTAACCTTAGATTTCCACTTCTGTTTCACAGCTAAATAGACATCGTAGAGTTCATCAATTTCTCGCACAGCTGTTTCGGGGGTCGTGTGCTGAGGGATTATCACAAAGTCTGTGACCGCTTCGAGGCAAAACAAAATAATAGGAAAAAAATCACTTCATAAAAGTTAGAAGACATTTAATCAAACACGTCAGAAAAAACCTGGATGAAATGGAAAAATAAGCATGTGCTCTTCTTTTAGAAAAAGGGAGTTTCTATTTGAAACAAAACAAAACAAAAACGCTTTATTCAAACAACTTTTTATGAGTATAGTTAAAGTAAGTCCTAATGATACTCCCATTAAGCAGCTTTTCTTGCGACCATGCATAGAACCTTGTGTCTCTTGGGGAAGCAAATCTAACCTTTAAAACTTTGAAACAATTTTTTTTTATATTGTGAAATCTTATAAATGTGTAGGTGTAGGGATCATGTTAACAGTAAGCCTAGCAGATGTTCTACTAAGGCTTAATCCTATGTCATGCTGAGTGTTGTAGTCCTGTTCTAACAGTTTTAAAGCATGAATTCATCCCATTGCAGCTACTTGCATACAAAGAGCTTAGCTCCTGCACTAGTACAGGGGCGCTCAATGCCCGGATCCGGCCTGCAGCGCCATGTCATCTAGCCACAGTGGCACTGCTCCCTTGCTGCCAAGTCCATGGGGAGCCTTGGGCTCTGCATGCTGGATCCGGCACCCAGTCCCAGGGCTGGGTGGGGGTGGCACTGGGCCCCAGAACTCAATTTTGCTGGGGGGGGTTGGGAGGAGGCAGCACTACTCTCTGGGATCCTGGTGTGGAAGCGGGTGGCGCTGGCCCTCTGGTCCACAATCCTGGTACATGAGGGATAGCACCAGACCCCTGGGACCCAATTCTAGCACACAAGGGGTGATGCTGGACCTCCAGGGCTTGACTTGGCCCATAGATGGCCTGATCCAGCGTGTGGCCAGGATCTGGGCCACTCCTCTGGCCCACGGGGCTAAAAGGTTGAGGACCTGCATTCTGGTCAAGCATTCTGCTGGGTCAGGGCCAGAATGCTCGGTACGTAATGCTGGGATCGGCCACCTACAGCCTGCAAACTACATCTGGCCCACCAAACAACAGCATCTGGCTCAGGACACCAGCAGTGGGACTGGAAAAAATGACAACAGGGTTGGACAAATGCTTCAGCAGTAAATTAGTGGGTGGAAGAAACAGTGGTGGCTGGATCATGAGCGATGGCCTGACTTTTGACTGAGCTGTGTTATTTGGGCTGCCACTTCTAACAGGTTGCTTACCCCTGACTTCATGCAATCGAACTTTAAGAGTCCACCTGTTAGACTTCCTTTTGACATGACTGTGATCAGTAATATACCACATGTTGCATGTTTGAAGGTTTCACCTCATAGGAAAAAAAAACCCCCCACTGTCTGCTTTTCTTTTAGCTGAAAAATATCCAATGCGGAGGTGAAATGGCTTCTTCCAAGGACCTATTTATTAACAGCACTATTGCACACGCTCTCCCATTGCTATCACCTTTCTCTAGATGATATATGATGTCAGCATGGTTTGTGGTGCTGGTCACATGAGAAGCTGAGCGCCCTACAGAAAATCAGTAACTATACTAGCTTGTATTGCTGTATCAGCAGCAGTCAAAGCACATTTGTATCATAACATCAGCGCAAACCTGGAGACACGGATCTAGATTGTATTTCTGAAGAAATCAATGATGAGCAACCTTTTACTTTTCTGTCTCTGATTAGGGGAACTAGAGCCAATTCTGAGAAGTCCCGAGTACCTGTTGATTTCTGGTGAGAAATGAGTGCCCTGTATGTTACAGGACCAGGTTTTTCAGGTGAACTGTTTGCTATGAGAGAGGTCTTTTGAAATAAGATTTCTGACACTTTCATCTGTCCTGTACCATGCATATGGCCTAGTAGAGGGGGTGAAACTTCCTTTCCAATTTGCAATTTTTTGACACTCCTACGATTAAAATGACTTCTAAATGTCAAGGTCTGTTTGCGATGAAGCTACTATGTCCATGAACATCCTCCTTGCAGTTTCTACAGCAAGCTAACCGACCCCATGACATCCTGCTTATAGTGAAACTCAGTGTTACTCGCTGTTTTCCCCTTTTATTTATCAAAATTAGCTCTTGGTGATATCTTACCACTTCTTGGAGCCTGGAACCAGACAACAAAGGGTTCTCTAGAAAAAGCATCTTCATCCCCAGGCTGACGGTCAGGATACTGATAGGTTTGCTTCACTGATACCAGTTTTGGTCTGCAACACAATAGGATCCATAAATAGAATATTACGTATTGCTCTTACTGACAGCTCGCTCAGGTTTGTTTCTGTAGTCAGTGATTTTCTTGGTAGTGGTAGAAGTTACATTATATTACATTTGTGAAGACCTTACAAAATATCAGTATGGTAGGTAGTCTGAATAAGAGCATGCTTCAACATCAGCTGTGATTCCTAGATCAAGTAGTTAGCATTTGCTTTGCATCCAAAGATTGAGGCTTGGTAAAAATAATAGTTGCAAAAACTGAGGTCAATCCCAAATCTAGGCAAGGACTAATTCCATAAATGCAGAATAGGAATCTGCTGTTTTGGGGTTTTTTTTGCCTGAAGCTGTTGGTTTGGATGAATGATTATCACCATATTGGTGCATGTGGGGAACCAGAAGATGAAATCCTAACCCTGTTTGAAGCCAGTGAAAAAGTTGCTATTGGCTTCAGTGGGGCCAGGAGTTTACCTGGTCTCTAAACAGCCAGGATCCAATCCAGGTAGGGCTTTGTGTCAAGATCATAAGCCTGATTGATATTTGGGCATGAAAGGGAAGCCAGTGCAGTCATGTGAGAGTTGGCATACCAGACTCTCCGGTACTGACATTGCTAAGACAACATACGGCTCTATTCTACACTAGTTTGTAATCACCATGGTGTAGGTACAGTTTGCAAAAGGAAACGGTAGAGAATTCACTTACCTATAGATGAAAGCATATTGTTCCTTATAGGTTTTTCTTCCTAATCGTTCACTGATCACATATTTGAATTCTTTTTCTGTTCCTTTTGAGAGACTAAAAAGAGAATATTTAAGTGGATGTCTCTGTATATAACAATTAGGTTTCCATTTAAATTTACATGAGTGAACATGTACAAGGGTCAGAAAAAGTGACTTCTTGTGGTGGGTTACAGAGATAAGAGGCTGACAATTGTATATTGTATTGTGTGGTATATTCACTCAATGTTTTCCTTATAAAACTTTCATTCCGCTCTTTTTGACCTTGAGCTTGTACCAGGCTATTTGTTCTTTTTCCATATCACATTTCTATTCAGTTTTACATTATTTTTTTCCAGAACAGTAAGTAATGGGTGCATCATTTTAATTTCAATATTATCTTTATCTTGCAAAGTCGTTTTGTATTAATAGTACTACCTTTTTCTGTGTCAGTTTATCAATTAACTTTTTCAAAGCCCACTTTAATCAGACATTTATGTCCAAGATGGTATGTGAATTTGTGCTAGATGTCTTCAATAAGATAATTAGGGGCATGGAACACTTTCTTGTGAAGAGGGTTTGAAAAGATCGGGACCCTTTGCCTTGGAAAGGAGTAAAAAAGACACCTCATAGTAAAAATCTATAAAATAATGCAGGTGGTAGAGAAAGTAAGTTGGAAGCCTTTTATCTCCCCGTCTCATAGTTTCTGGGTTTTTGGCTGTAGCCATGTTGGTCTAAGGACATAGGCAGGCAAGGTTCTTTGAGCAGCTGTGTGATCTCTTTTATTACCCAGTTGGTCTAATAAAAGATATCACATCTACTCAAAGAACCTAGTTTGATATTTAAGGTGGAAAAGTTCAAAATTGACAAATAGAAATATTTTTTTTGCAGGATGTATAATTAGATTGTGGAACTCATTGCCATTGGATGGAACTGAGGCCAAAAACCAGCATGAGTTGAAGAAGGATTGTATTTTTTATGTAAACAGTGGGAACATGCAGAGGTATAATAGCTAAGGCTAATGGGCTAAATTTAGGAAGTGAGAGAGAACCTTGTTAAGGCTTCAGTCTCTGATTTCTAGGGATTAGTTTTGATGGAAATTCTTTGGGGCCAGATTACTGCCTGCTGTAGGCTTCTCACACCTTTCTCTGAAACAGCTGGCACCGACTTCCTTCAAGGGTACTGCGCTATATGAAGCACGGTTCTGACCCAGTATGGCAATTCCTATTTGTCTCTGTTTTCCTGCCAGTTCTCATGACTTTATGGCCTTGCTTATGTGTTTGTGTACTTGAGTAGTTCACCTTACCTGTTAAGCTTCTCCATTAAAAAAGGGCATGTTTTGTTTTGGGTGTCCTTTATTTCCATCACTAGCATGATGTCACAGCGAGAAATAACCTGCAATAGGAAAGGGCAAAGGACATATAGCAGGATTGCATTAAGGGTGCATGGAAGGACTGGAAATTTAAAAAGAGACAGAGCAAAGCAAGCACTGAAAACCAATGGTCATGATAAGGTGGAAATGCCCGTTGTGAGACTATCTTGCAGGTGATTGGGGTGGGGATGTAGATGGAGAGAGAACATGACTGTAGTGTTAGCTACTGAAGGCAAAGGGAGTGTCCTTTCTTTCCAAGCTGGGTGGTTGCCCCATGTAGCTCATTCTTCTTTGAAAACTTTTATGAACCATTCAGAAAATCCTTGAGGATGTGAACAAACTCTGCCTCTGGTGAGAGAACTGTTTGTTTTCCCCAGCTGGTGCTTCTGCAGATCAGCTGATGCTATTTTTGTCTGTCTTCATCATCTTGTGGCTTTAGCTTGTCCACTCTCCTTTAGGCCCAGGAGCACCTTACCAAATAACTTTGCTCACTAGGGCTAGGATTCAAAAGGATGGTTATGCATTCTAGTTCCTAATTTGTGCTTATGAAGCCCCAACCATATCTGTGCTTAGTTGTTCCTTCTCATGTCCACACTTGAAAGTATCTAGCTAGGTACTGGGGCACTTAACTACTGCACATGCCCATAATATTCACCATTCTGACTGAGGTCCATGGGGGCACATGTGCAGTAAGCTAAAGTCATTTTTGCATTTAATAATGGGATCCATGAGTGCGTAAGGGACCTTGTTGGCCCATTTTCCTACCTGCATTTTGAGAACAGCCATATCCACATCTTGACTCTTTCACTGCAATGCTTACCAGAATGTCATTGGTTCCTTTGCCCTCACCCCTCCCGTAGACTTGTCTATAAATATATGGCTTGTTTTCTTCCAGCAAATGTTGCTGTCTCATGTTGGCTTCTGTGCTCTGACTCTCTTAGGATGTCATTGGTTGGCTTCTTCTACAGGTAACTTTGGTTTAGCTAACTATAGAAGGCTGCTGTCAGATATCCAGCAAGGACGCCTGATAAAAGCATAATTTTGGCTAACATTTTTGGCAGTTTCTAAAAGTGATCCATTATTCATTGCAATGTATGAACAAATAAGGTATTTTATTGCCCTGTGTTGGCAGGGAATCGTGCTGCCTGAGTGCCTGTCTGGCCTCTTCTGTTTTGATGTTTTCCTATATAGGCAACTGACTTATTTGGGGTATTAAACCCTCTCTCCCATGTCATTTCAAACTGAGGGAATTTAAAAACAAATGTATAACTGCCATTAGCAAGGACAAAATACATGACGTTTCTTCTCGGCGAGTAACTTTCAACAACAAAACAGATCATACAAACATAAAGGCTCACAGCTAAGTCTCAGCCGCACTCATGGTCATAGTGACTTGCAAACGACACGTCATTTCCCTTATTCTCAACTTGGAATTGATGTGCCCCTGCCTACGAGGGTGTTTGTTACACCCGCAGCCTGTCGGCAGCACGCAGGTCAAGGCTGCAGGGAACTACAGAAGTGCTACCTAGTCCCAGAACAGGACTGAGTCCTGGACACACATCCCTCTTCCACATTTCCTGGTGGCTGGCCTCTTCCTGCATGGCCTGTTAGCTGGTGTGAATCTCTGTGGGATGCACTCGGTATTTCTATCCAAGTCATGGGGATCTGGGATGCATAAGTCTTCCTGAATTCTGCCTGTGGAGCCACATAGATTTCATAGATTTCATAGACATTAGGGCTGGAAGGGACCTCGGAAGATCATCGAGTCCAGCCCTCTGTCCCAGGGGCAGGAAGTCATATAGAGTCACAGGATCCCAGCAAGATAAACGTTCAATTGACTCTTAAAGGAATCCAGAGTAGATACTTAGATTTTGGATGCAGCAGTGTCCAATGTTGTCACAAATAGGAGCCTTAATGCATCAGAGCCAGTTTCTGCTGCAGTCAATAGGAGTCTTTCCACTGACTTCAGAGAAAGCTGGATTGGGCTCCTAAGAAACATCACTGGCCTCTTGGGACTGATGGCATGGAAAAAGTTAAACATGTGTGTGTCTGCAAAAGAAGACCCTTGGAATAAAAGCTGTTTGGAACAGACACTGACTCCTCTTGGTTTGGACAAGCGCCTAGTAAACTCTGGATGCAATCACTAGTTAATGTAAACATAATATCTATTTTTTTGGGTGGACAGCTTTGTCAGGCACACGGAGAGATTCTTCCAGGGACTTTTCTAGAATTTTTTTTCCCCTCACATGTGATTATCATGTGTGTGGGACTAATCATATGCGACTATGCAGTTATATATTTTAAATGTAAATATGCTAGACCCAAAGCTGGACTTACAGACCATATAGCACATGCCATTGCTAAACAATCAGGTGCAACAGTGTGCTTAGAGGTATGGAAAGGCTCATTTCAATGGTTCTTTACTTTTTTCAAAGTGGCTTAAATATAAGAACACCCCCCACCCCCTGCCTCATCGAGTAGAGGAGCTGCAAGGCAGTTATAACTAATGTCAGCTTGTACCTACCCCTTTCTCCCCGTACGTCTTCCTTCTACTTTCCTATGCACTAATCATCACTCACTTCCCCTTATACTCTATGCTGTCCTTTCACTGCATAGTTAGTTCATAAAGGTGCATATCTACCCTG